TTTTTTTTTTACCAAAAATGTCATCACCATACAGCGAGGTAGATTTACATGAATTCTTTTTCCATTGTTGTAACAAAAATTGCAGAATAATGAGAAACAATATTTTTCCAAAACCAAATATACCAAACCTTATAATGTTGTTTTTGAGCAGTTTTCTTCCTAGAAGAGGCATAGACGATAAAATAAAAACTAAATTATAAAGTGAAATAAAATATAAATATGAAGTTAGAAGTGATGTATAATAAAACTTTTAAGCTGATTCGAGTGCAAAACTCCCAAATTCACAGTCTTCATTTATATGTATTACATTCCAATATGAAGAATAAGGAGGATAGTCATACTAATAATTCATTTTCATTAGGTTCAATTTAATAAACTGGTGTAAGACATTAAAAGAATTCGCAGACTTGGTCTATTATCTCTAGAACTACTGGACCGATCTTAATGAAATTTAATATGTACATACGTCACGGCGAAAGACCAAAATCGGTGGTTGTTGACTTTCACAGGTGAATGTCGACAAACACCAAATACGTCGGTGAAAGATCGAATATTTCATTACATTTTTGTACATTCGGACCCTCACAGGTGAATGTCGACAATCACAGATATGCTTTGGTGAATGTCCGAAATATTTATTACATTCGATTTGATATTAATTTATTCGTGGATATAATTACATTTTTTCGATATTTTAACCCTACACTGATGTTTTTGAGATTAAGTGCCACTGCACGGTATACATTTGCCCGGTATACCCTACACTGATGTTTTTTTAAGATTAAGTGCCACTGCCTGGTATACCCCACACTGATGTTTTCTTAAGGTTAAGTGCCACTGCCCGACTTGAAAGTCACTGAAATGTTCCTCGAATCAATCTATGACGTGAAAAATTTATTAGTATATTAATGATGAAATAATAAACGTAAAAGGGTAAAGAATAAGATTCTTAAAAATGTCAAAATTTACTTAAATAATTGGTAAAATAGTTCTGCGTAACACTTGCGAAACACTTCCGGAAATTTCTTTTAAGATTAAGACGATATAGGGTAAACCAACCAGGGAAGGAACATTTCATCGATATTTTTTAAAAATAAGATTTCAAACGTTTTAATTTAGATTGATTGGTAACAGTAGCTTACTACCTAACAATAGGAAGTCATCTAACAATGCATTGAGTTACCTGGTCTTAGAGTCTTCTCTGGAAAAAGTTTTGAATTTGTTAGTATCTGTTCAACGCCTTGTTTCTTTGACA